ATGCATTAATGTTGGAATACAGTGTTCATGTATTATGTGAAACAACTACATCATTATTCAGTAGAGAGATATTCTTCAACCAGTAGATAGCAGTGTTTGTAAGTTTGTAGCTGTATCTATGGCATATTCCATGTCTTTTCTCTGAACAAGTTTCCTGTTTTACTGTTTGGAGTGAAGCAGAAAAGCACATGTGGACTGTGCACTGTCTGTTCTGTAGGGCTATATACAGAATTTCTAACAATTAAGGTAAAAAAACAGCTTTTAGAACACTTTAAACAGGATTGCAATTCTTTTACAGTCAAGTATGGAAAATGTTGCAAGGAGTCTTGTTACCTTGCTCTGCTTGTACAGGTGATGGTTACTTCAACTTGAAGAAGTCTACTCTTTGTTGAAAAAAAGTTTGGCCTAGAATTATATGGTATTAACAAATGCACATTTTAAGCATGCATAAATGAAAGCAAAAACACAGAAATGTTTACAATTTAACTTGCAGCAAAGAAGTGAACAAGAATTATTGTTGAATCCATTGCATTGTCGCTTGGAATAAAAATAGGTAATATAGCACAAAGCATATGCAATTTAATGGTTCGGATGTATCAGCTCACACCAGGAGGCCAATGATCTTTTAGACAGAGAGCAGCATTACATCTACTGATTCCCTGAAGACTGACTGCAGATTTAATATGAAAATCCTTTTATCATGTTTATTTCTCTTGTTTCACTTGACATATGTTGGGAATATTTATTTTAAAAAGCAACTATCTTGTTAATATGCTCTAGACTTGTTATTTCACTTTTTGTTTTTATTTAGATAGTATTTTTTACATCCAGCCTCAGGATATACATATTTAGATTTTAACATCTAATTCAGCAGTTTGAAACCTATGATATTTAAAGGGGACCATAGCTAAAAAAATTATGGTGGCTAGGGCACATACCAAGGGGAAAACAGAAAATCAAAGTGTATTATACTGAAAGTACAGTCTTATTGATCCATTTGCTGTGAATGCTGCTGGTGTTGTTACATTACAAAAACCTGTCATGAAACTACAAAGAAATATAGAAACCCTTTCATGACCAAAAGTCATTTATATCTAGATGTCCAGGCCATGTTTTGCAGTGACAGCATGGGGGTGATTTACTAAACTGTAGCGTACAAAATCTGGTGCAACTCTGCATAGAAACCAATAAACTTCCAGGTCTTATTGTCAAAGCTTAATTAAACAAGCTGAAGATTAAAGCAGATTGGTTACCATGCAGAGCTGCATCTGATTTTGCACTCTCCAGTTTTAGTAAATCAAACCTCATGTGTCTGTTAACTTAACCATAACTTCTGAGTTTATATAATAAAAGAACAAGTTTCAAGGAGTGGAAACTGCATTCATTTTTTCCTGCTGCATTTATACACTTATCCCAGCTTTTAACTAATGCCTGGAAAGCTTCGACATAGAAAGATTTTTCAGTATATCTGAACCATCCTAGGACAGCCTGCTTCACTTCGTCATTATTGTGTTCACCGTTCCCATAGAAAGATTTGTCTCTTGAGCAGTTTTATGACAAATTATGCATTGATTATCCAGCATCAGGCATTCCATGAGCTGAATGTTTACAGGAATGACTGCTGTGGGCTGGGAACCAACATGGCCGGGATCATCACTGACAGACGTGTGGCCATCTTTGAAACCTTTACACCATTCAAATGTCTTACTACAGCTGAGAATCTCATCACTGTACTGTGCGTGAAGTCGTCTGTAGATATTTTGTGGGTTTTACGCCTTTGTTCACAAGAAAATTCATCATATGCTGTTCCATGCACACACAAACACTATTTCTTGCCATCCTGATTAACGGTCTCTGGATTGGCCCGAGACATGTGCGCTGCTGTCACGATGTGCCCCGTGCCCCCACTTCCCCTGTGCCTGCTGTCCCTCTGCCTGTCCCTTCACCCCTCCCTCCCCCCTTACAGATTCCTCAAATCCTATCACAGCCTATTTCAAAGGCTGTGCAGGATGGGAGGAAGCGGCTCCTGTGGTGCGGGTCGCACCTCTCCTGGCAATGTCGCAGGAGAGTTGCGACTCCCCACCAGGAGACCTCCAGTGCAGGCCACTGGGATGACTCAGCGCTTCCCCCCCGGTGGGTGCACCGCGGGAACGAGGCTTCCCGTGCTCTGCGCCGCCGGAGACAAAGGCCATGCTCATGAGAGCGTGGCCTGAGTCAGGGGGTGTGCCTCGTTGCCCTGGCAATGCGGCGCTGGGCTGGACATTGCCAGGGCAACCAGGAAGTGTCCTGCTCCAGCCTTAAGAAGGCCGGAGTGAGACTCAGCCCAAGAGTTCGGCCCCCGCTCGGGACAGGGTGCTGTGTGGGGTCTGAGCTGAGGCCAGACCCCACAGCCAAGACCCTGTCGAGTCCCTTCAAGCCTGTTGGTCCCCTGCTATTGAGGGAAGCGTTGTGTGGGGTTTGAGCTGAGGCCAGACCCCACAGCCAGGACCCCCGTTGAGTCCCTGTAGGCTTGCTGTTGTCCCTGGAAAGCTGACTGCTGTGAGGGTCCCTGTCTGCTGATCGCTGTCGTCCCTGGAAAGCTGACTGCTGTGAGGGTCCCTGTCTGCTGATCGCTGCTGTCCCTGGAAAGATGACTGCTGTGAGGGCCCTGTCTGCTGATCGCTGTTGTCCCTGGAAAGCTGACTGCTGTGAGGGTCCCTGTCTGCTAATCGCTGTCGTCCCTGGAAAGCTGACTGCTGTGAGGGTCCCTGTCTGCTGATCGCTGCTGTCCCTGGAAAGATGACTGCTGTGAGGGTCCCTGTCTGCTGATCGCTGTTGTCCCTGGAAAGCTGACTGCTGTGAGGGTCCCTGTCCGCTGCTGTCCCTGGAAAGCTGACCACTGTGAGGGTCCCTGTCTACTGACTGCTGCCAGTCAGTGTTCCTTGAGTGTTCCTGCACATTGTCCGCTGGAAACTACCTGCCGTGAGTGCCCCTACAACCGCATGTTGCGGAGTGCCCTGAACTGCCCCTATTGTGTGCCCAGATTACCCTTGCCTGAACTGCCCCATTGTGTGCCCAGATTACCCTTGCCTGAACTGCCCTCTCTGAATGGTTCCCTATCATCATGGAGGACCCTGGCTATCATTGACAGCTGATGTAGATTGCTAGAAATTCTTCAAGTCTTTGCTTCTGGTTCTCAAATATTTTGAGGTGGCACTAGAACATGAATAGAGTGTCAGGCAGGCCATACATGATGTGATTTTCTTTCCTGCAACAACGAAAATCTCTTGTTTTCCCCATCAACACTTATTCCCCCATCAGCACTCCTGCAAACATATTGTGTTCTCCCAGGATGTGGTAGGGGGGGTTGGGGCGGGGGAGCAATAATAGTTGCTAGTAATAATCACAGTTATAATCCAATATGCTGGTTGTACCCAAGTTGTACAACAATCAACTTGGGAACAATCAGCTTTCCTATAGATGGTTTGAATCTCGGCCGGTCCCTGCTGAACTGCCCAAGATATGAACCATCTTTGCTTGGCTTCAATCTTCTAATTAGAATACTTGTTTCTGTGATCACTATCTAAGGGGGGATTTTTTTGACATTGGAAAGATATCTTCTCATTATCCTCAGGACAGTTTTAACCCTCCTCTACTCTATCCAAAAATGAAAAAAAAAAAAATGCATTTAGATATACTGACTTTTAAATAACAGATTTATCTTGGCATGGGCTTGCACACATTCATATATAAAGTGCAAACCTTATCAGAGTTGCTTTGCAACTTATTGCAACATATTTTGCCTATAAACATTACATATACACACATACTGTATGTACATACATAAACAACCTCATTTATAGATCATGTAATGCACTGCAATATAGTGGGGACAATTCACTAAAGGTTACTGCATGCGTTATGTCGGTCACAATGAAAATGGTTATTCACTATTGCTAGTATGTGGTATTTACCACAAACAGCAAAAATGCTCGGTAAATACCGCATAAAAAGATGTTAAAGTCAATTCACAGAAATAAATAAATAATTAAATGGAAAGTGGGAAGACACAGCGGTGCCACTGTAAGTGTAGATGTTAGTTAAAATCAACAATTTATTAAGTAAAGAACTCCCAAGTGTAGGTAAGTAGGCATGTCATAGTGCAGTAAATCTGGGCGGTGCTGTGACTGGGTCCTGTGTAGTCCTCCTAGTCGTTCCAGCCACTCTGGTGCAGGGGCGGACTGACAACTCATGGGGCCTCCGGGCAATAGGGGATCATGGGGCCCCTGTGTCCTTGCCCAAACTAAAAAAAGCCATGAAAAAGGTACCAGGGGCATCTCATGGGGCCCCCTACTGACCACGGACCCTCGGGCAGTGCCCGATTTTCCAAATGGTCAGTCTGCCCCTGCTCTAGTGTGGTGTCCAGAGCTCCGGTAATATCAGAGAGGCGCAGGGTGGCTACAGCTGATGATGTCACCTGGAAACCAGAAGACTGCATGCGGCGTGCGTTCGGAGCATGAGTGCTACTTTCTCAGGCCATTATGAGTGGCTAGAATGACTAGGAGGACCACGCAGGACCCAGCCGCATCACCGCCCAGATTTACTGCACCATAACATGCCTTATACTTACCTTCACTTGTGAGTTTTTACTTGATATATTGTTGATTTTAACTAACATCTACACTTAGAATGGTACTGCTGTGTCCTGCTCTGACAGCTGGATGCTTTCTACCCCAAGACTTTATTAAGGATATACCGTATTTTTCGCTCCATAAGACACACCTGACCATAAGACGCGCCTAGGTTTTAGAGGAGAAAAACAAGAAAAAAAAATATTCTGGACCAATGGACTGCAGACATAGTACAGGAAATGACCAGAGACTGTGGACACAGTACAGGAGATGGACCAGAGACTGCGGACATAGTACAGGAGATGACCAGAGACTGCGGACACAGTACAAGAGATGACCAGAGACTGCGGACACAGTACAGGGTATGACCAGAGACTGCGGACACAGTACAGGGGATGACCAGAGACTGCGGACACAGTACAGGGGATGACCAGAGACTGTGGACACAGTACAGGGGATGACCAGAGACTGCGGACACAGTACAGGGGATGACCAGAGACTGCGGACACAGTACAGGAGATGACCAGAGACTGCGGACACACAGTACAGGAGATGACCAGAGACTGCGGACACAGTAGAGGAGATGTCCAGAGACTGCGGACACAGTACAGGGAATGACCAGAGACTGTGGACGGTACAGAGGTGATCAAGAGACTGCAGTCTCTTGATCATCCCCTGTACCGTCTGCAGTCTCTTGATCATCCCCTGTACCGTCTGCAGTCTCTTGATCATCCCCTGTACCGTCTGCAGACAGTACAGGAAATTACCATAGACTGCAGACAGTACAGGCGATGACCAGAGACTGCAGACAGTTCAGGGGATGACCAGAGACTGCAGACAGTACACGGGATGACCAGAGACTGTGGACCTTTAGGGAGGGAGGGGGAGCAGGTACCTGAATTTGACAGGTACCTGCTCCCACTTCCGCGGAGTTGTCGGGTGTCCACTGCGCATGCGCGAGAGCGCTGGACTTTGTGAATGGCCCGGTGTTTTCTGGGACCTGTCATGTGTCCCAGAAGACGGCGGACCATTCACAAAGTGCAGCGCTTCTCGCGCATGCGCAGTGGGCACCCAGCTGTCACAGATGCCGGCGCGGTACTGCTGAGCGGCCGGCCCGGTATTCTGACATGGTGGCGGCGGAAATACCAGACCGGCCGCTTTATATTCGCTCCATAAGACGCACTGACATTTTCCCCCCTTTTTTTGGGGAGAAAAAAGTGCGTCTTATGGAGCGAAAAATACGGTACCTTCCTGTCCTGGACTTATACCCATTAGGACATTGCCAGATTATTCATGTCCACCTGTTCTACTGTTTATGTACGGACTTTACATTCCACCTGTACCTCGTTTACATATATAATGTTAGAATATATTTACCTGGGACTGTATTTGAGTGCTCCCCTTTTTTTTCTTTTTCTTTAAATAAATAATGAAATGCATGTGGTAATTAAATAGTGGTCGAGACATGTGGTATGTACTGGTTGTTAAGGAGCGGGCGGCTGCCAGCATCCTTAACAACCAGTAACTGTCATGGTTATTAAGGAGGAGCAGATGGTCGCTGAGTTCTTAACAATCAATGAGTCTTCATCTGTCAGTGGGCTTCCCCACTGACAGCTTAATGTAAAAAAAAAGAAATGCTGGTAATTAAAAAAAATCAGTGTGGTGTTCCCCCCCATCCATACCAGGCCCATTCTGGTATGGATTTTGAGGGGAACCCCCATGCCCGGCAGATCAGGAAAGAGGGAGGGCCATGAGAGCACCCCCCCAAACCATACCAGGCCACATGCCTTCAACATGGGGGGTGCTTTGGGACAGGGGGCTCTATTCTACCTAAAGCACCCTGTCTCTATGTTGATGGGGACAAAGGCCTCTTCTCCACTACCCTGGCCAATGGTTGTGGGGTCTGCAAGCAGGGGACTTACTAGAATCTAGCAAGTTTTTGACAAGTCCTTTATTAAAAAACCTAAATTAAAAAAAAAGTCCCCTGGTGCAGATCTATTATCAATCACTATTCCGCTGACGGCTCCTACCATCTGACAGCTACCCCCCCACCTGACAGTTCCTAAATAACCAAAATGCAGGGCAGCGACATCACCAGGTGACCCCACCCCCTTTTGACATTATTGATTGGGGCATGCTGGGTCGATGGTATCACAAGGGGGCGGGGTCACCGTATGCCTCTTATTTATTTAAGAACTGGGAGGCGGCTGAACTGTCAGGCAGAGGAGTCTTCATCAGGAGCAGAGCCTCTTTTTTTTCAGTTGGCAGTGGCGGCTGGCAACATGATTGATGATGAATCTACATTGGGGACATTTTTTTATATTTGTTGTTTTTAATAAAGGTCTTGTCAAAAACTGCCATCTGTGTTTTTTCACACTACACTTTTTATTTGATAAATGAGTATGGGTACCATGTTAAAGGGGGCTTCCAGATTCCAATAAGTCCCCCGCCCGCAGACCCCCACAACCATCGGCCAGGGTTGTGGGGAACAGGCCCTTGTCCCCATCAACATGGGGATAAGGTGTTTTGTGGGGGGCGGAGCCCCCCTCCCCAAATCACACCCCCATGTTAAGGGCATGTGGCCTGTTATGGTTCAGGAGGGGGGGCAATTCGTTCATCCCCTCTCTTTCCTGACTTGCTGAATTTTGAGGGGCCCCATGCCATTTCTTTTTTATTTTGGCTTAAGGGGTTCCCTTCAAAATTCATACCATACCCAAAGGGCCTGGTATGGATTAGTGGAGGGACCCAACGCCATTTTTTCTCTTAAATTTTTTAAATGCCGGCAATTCTTTTTTTTTACATTCAGCTGGCAGCAGGGAACCTGCTGACAGTTGATAACTCATTGATAACTCATTACATTATTTTATGTCTTCACTACTAAAATACCACATGACTTCATAAATAATGATATTTTAGTAGCATTTTTAGTAAATGCCAGCACACTTTACTGCTTTATAATTTGTCTCCAGTGTCAGTATAAATAAAGGCTGTTATCTCATCAAGGGGAACAATCTATGAGATATCTGCCCATCCATATCTGCCACAATTTGGCTGAGAAATATATCTGATACATATGTGGTAAATGCCTTGTCACCTTTGATTAAGAAAAAAAAGGTAATGATCAGCAGCTATTCATACAATTTTCAATATGATGAAACATTTCTGTGCATACTAACAAGCTCTTATAGTAGTCAGAAAGCTTTGTTATCTCCACAAAGGAAACTCCAACATGACCAGTTTTCACAAATAGTCCTTGCATTACAAAGAGCTGTTCATGTATGTTCACCCTTAGGCTACCTACACAAACACAGTTTCTTTATTTTCACAGTCACTTCAAGACCAAACTAGAGAATCTCAGGAAGGCAGTATTAGGCACCAGCACACATATAGTGCACAGAGACCAGGAGCATTTCTTGAAATGCAAATAAGCACTGAGAAAGCTTTCATATGATCACTATGGCTCAGTCATTCAGCACTGCACAATACACTTGCACAATGCTTGTGTCTGGGGGGGGTAAGAAGGACTGATTTGTCTTGGAAGGAAAATAATCCATTATTTCTGACCAATTCATCCTCATAGCAGGTTCAGCTGTAGACAGATGTAAAATAGATATGAGATGGCTCTTCAATCTGTGAACCTAAACCAACTTCAGGGTCTCCGCTCCAGCATCTATGTCCCCCATTCGGTATATTCCAAGGAGGTTGCAGGTCAGGCTAGGAGTCCACCCTGACTCCATATAATCCACAGAACAAGAAGAGACATCTCAGCCAACACACACCATCCAAGCCCAGCATGTAATGGGTCATAGCAGCCTCAGCCTAACTCATTCCAGCCCCATGTCCCCTGAAATGTTTTGTCCCACCCATGAGACTTAGGGCTTATGTACACTGCAGCTGGTAAACTCACGTTTAGGAGCTGTTCAGCGTTTTTTTTTTCAGCAGCCCCTGAACGCACCCTAATGTTTTCCTATGTGTCCATGTACACATCTTTGTTTACAGTCATTTAAAAGCAGTTGAGTTTACATTTGTTTTTTTGAACGCAACAAACTTGCGTTCAGACGTCGATTCTATCAGCGTTTCAAATGCGAAACATGGCTAAATGTGACAAATTGCGTATATAAGCGTTTGCAAATTTTTTTTAACTCTTCTTGGCTGAGGCTGCTATCGCCTATTATACACTGGGCCTGCATGGTGTGTGGTGGCTCAGATTTCTCTCCCTTGTTCTGCGGTTCTCCAATGTGACCATAAATATCCTGATCACAATATTGTACACTTATGTCTGTAGTTATATATAGTTGAAGGCGATTCCTAGTTAAAATAACTTGTTGTTTGTATAGGACAAATGTACTTAAAAACCAAAGTGAAGATACAGAACCAAATTATATTGGCGTAGTGCTAGAAATCTCAGTTTGATAGTATCACCCCCAATTTTTCGCTATCCAGCTGTTGAATGGGATGTCTAAATATCACCATGCAGGAAATTAAACACCAGAGTTGGACCTAGTACACACATTAATTAGCACTTAGTAAGAGAATTGGTCTGAAACACCCCTTTTCCTTCTCTGCAATACAAGTCTGTGTGAGATCACTTGTGGAAGAGACGTGTCTTATACCCAGTGGTGTGAGCATAGAGCACAGATGTGGGAGAACAAGAAGCAGAATTTTCACTATTTCCATGCTGTGTTTAGTCATAACATTTAGAGGTATAGGCGAACAAAGAGATTTAAAACAATGTGAAACTTTACCCAGAATTTAATTGAAATACACGTCTGAAACCTATTTCTTTCCAACACAGTTCCCAAAACAGTTTGAAGTTAATTTCTTAGCAATCACACAATGGAAATGCTTCATTAAATTAGATAGTAAAACATACGTTAACGATCATTATTTTGAAAATACAGAGTGAAAATAGTATTTCTCTTTTGAGTATGAAATATTCATATCCTGAATAGGAAATAATGTTCTGAAAACAAAAATTAATAGTCTCTCTACATGTGATCTGAGAACACTTGCTGTGTTGAATGATAGTCTGTTGAGTAACATGATTATGATTGAAAGTCATGAAGTAATTCCATTAAAAGTTCTGTTAATAAATACACATCTAATTTCATCAATCTTCTGTCAAATGCCATTGAACCAAGTATCTTTGTATCTCGTGTATCTATTTATATTAACTGAAATGGAACTTGATAGCTGATTTCACTTTTTTCTTAATGAATATGAAGTCCGTTGTTGAACAGCTCAGTAAAACCAATGTAAATTTTCCTCTGGAAGAACAGAAAAATGAGATCAGAAATGCAAACATATTAGTTCACCTCTCATTAGTTGGAATAAAAAAATCAAATGATTGGCTGTGTTCCCAGAGAAGTTAAATCAATACTCGCAACAGGAGTAATGATTTCTTGCAAATGTTTCATTTATTTTTTGTTCTAGGGATAGTAACCCTTAAAGTGCAAAATGTTTGGAATGCAAGTAATATAGATTTGCCTGCTTTTTTAAATTGTTGAAGATTGAAGACACAAGCAAAACTTCAGAAAGTTAAAGCTAATAAATAAAAGAGTTTTAATGATAACAGACATACAAATAAATATGACTTCAGTATTTTTCTTAAAAAAAAAAAAAAAAAAAATCTGTGCTTTGGGGTTCCAGTCCTCACTTGATCAACTGCCCTTTGATATAGTAAAGTGAAATGCTACACATTACATTTTTTTTCTCTTCTAAGGATAAGTTAGATGGGTCCTTATTCTCCATTGGAATGACTCTCTCTAGAAAGCTATTCAGGAATCACATCTTATTTCAATACACTAAAATTTTTTTGAAATGAGTAGGGAGGGATCATGTTTTAGAGTGTTTCTTTAGAGATCACCTCACTTGTTCAGGTGACAACCGGAAGCAGGGGAAGTCTCTCCATCTGAAATCCAGACAGCAATAAAATGGGCAGAGGGTTTTTAAATATTCCCCACCCTGTCCAAATCATAAAAATTCTTGGAATTACAATTTAAGTGCATGTTATATCCCAAGCTTTACCTTTCTTCTAACCCTTATCCAGCGATGTGCACAAGAGCAGTGGCTCTCCTGGGTTTTCTCTCTCCTCATTGGCTCAGGCACAGGAGTGGGAGCCATTGGCTCCCGCTGCTGTCAATCACAGC